CAAAAAAAAAAAAGGAAAAAAGGTTTTAACTATAGGGTGTTCCAAAACTCCCGCAAGAAGTACATATGATAGAAAATATATTTGACAGTTTACGGTTAAATATTGTATACCTCCAAGTACAGGATAGCATAGCGTGTAGATGACTGCCAAACATCGGCTCGGCTTGACTGGCATATGCGAATCCTTTTCGTGAACTTTTTTATGGGAAATTTTTTATGGTTGGAATTTGTTATTAAATAAAGTGAATGGACTGTGTCAATGCCTTGTTGAAACCACGTATTGCCCACATCCTTCTCTTGCAATTTAGAAAAAAAAAAACAGAAAAAAAAAATTATTATGCCGCGATAGCGAGCACAATTGACAGTGGTTGCCTCGCCTGAAGTACTTTCGACGAAGAACGTCGCGAAAAATGATATCTCTAATCCAGCAGCCGTATCAAGCTGAAGATTAAGATGAAGATGAGCGCGAACTTCATATGTTGCGTGAGTTTTGGCGCACCCTGTGTTTCCAAATATAAGCGAAACAAAGCATGTTTTAAAATTTATCGTTTACGTGCTTTGGGAAAATATTTGCAATTTTTCACCATTTCAATTCAAATCGAGCTAGCGGCACATAAAAGAAAAGAGAGAGAAAATTATTCATTCACAAATGTAAAGGCTCTGCTTGTTCTTAACAAAACGTAAATAAATAAATCGAAAACTTATGCACAAATATTGATTTAATAGAAGTAAAGCATATTTTTTTCTTATTTTTCTCATCATATCTACGCTTAGGATTTAATTTCAATGTAAAAAGGAAGCCAATCAAGTTATAAAAAGAGTGCGAAAGATAGCAGGTAATAATGTTGTTATCAATGCTGATATTTTGCATTGAATGAGAACTCAAAGCATAAAACTATGTTCGGTTTTTCCTTTTTCTTTATTTTGCAATTTAATTTAATACGAAGCGAAGACGAATGGACGTAGGTGGATCTCGAATGCCTGCACGCTTTTTGAAATTGCTGAAATTAAATAGACTATAGTTCCGTGCGCTATGGCAAATGCTGGCATCGCCTTCGCAGTAGTGACCAAGTCTAATGAAATAAATGTCAGACTTCAATTTAAAGTTAATTAAAACTTACTCAATCAAATGGAGTCTGCACGCACCGATGACAGTATTACGCTGCACTCATCCCGTCGAAGATATTCATAGTGTTCGGTGTGTGAGTGCCTGTATACTAGCTTGCATGTAAAATATTTAAATAATTTATAAGTATGCCGGGAAAGCGAGTCGTGTTTTATACCTCAATGAGATTCTTTGATTCTTTCTTTTCTGTAAAATAATTTTTTTTTTTTTTTTTGTAATTTTTCAACAAAGATAATAGATGTGTAATAGGTTTACGGTCTTTTTTGCAACATCGGGAAATACGCAACATATACGAGTCTTACTTAACCAAGCTAAAGAAAGTAATGGAAAAGTGCCTAAACATATACATACAAACTGGAAAGCACTCTGCTGTAGTTGTCGGTTCGACTTTCACATTGATTTCTTTAAAGGCTTTCGGAAATATCTATTTTTTTTTTTTTGGAGTTTGTATAACGCGTTGTTTTTTTACGCAAAGTTTATCTTACGTAAAGTTTTCAATTCAATAAATGTTTGCATATTACTGTTTTTTCTTCATTGTGATCGCGGTTTGTATAAGTATGGGGTATGTTGTTCAATTGTGCGAGTGTATGTAACATCTAAAAGCGATTTAGATAGATCTATCTTTTATTATGGCGTTCGATTCCAAATTATTTTCTGAGCCGATTACTTTTTCTCTTGTACCCTACACCATATGTGGTATAAAGATAATATTAAACTTGTATCCATGTACGAAACAACCAGAAAGACTTGGGATAGATTTATCTTTTAAATGTACTGATCAATTCAGAAAGTGACACTTGCTGGTCCGTATGTCCGTCAATCGGCTAACTTCAATTTCAGAGATATTTTGATGAAATTGGGAGTAACAGTGTGTTTTGGGCCAAGGTCAAACGCTACGCGACAATCGTCCGGATCGGATCATCTTTTCGACTACTTAATAACTATAGCGTGGTATGGGGGGGGGGGGGGGGGGGGGG